CTCCTGGTTCTTCCCGAGTCATACAATTTAATCCACGAACTCGACTGATCAGCAGAGGCTGTGCTGACGACATGGAATTGCAAACTGTTTTTAGTCTCATTAATTTCTTTTTAGCTTCTTTTCCACTCTTTACCTGTTACAACCTACAAAATATAAATAGAATGTAAAACCTATATAAAAGATTAAAATAAAGGTGTAAACAAGGAGAATTAATATGTATATAATAGCGAATTTACGAGCATAACACACAGTTGGAAATAAAACTATGAAACAAGAGAGAATGTAGAGAGACAAAAGAGAAATTGGTGGAGAAATCAAGGTGCCATTTCCTTCTTATTAGAGTGCCTATTATAGGCGTAGGATTTACGTAGAAAAGTGTTGAACTATTGGGATGACATATTGACCCGGAAGGTGAATAGCTATATAATGAATAATATTTGCAACACTCCTCCTTGGATGTTCATCAATCAATAATAGTTGCCTCGATAAAACCTTGCTTGGAAAACCTAGTGGGATAAACCAAAGCAAAGGAGAAAAATCAAGCACAACTTAGAAAACATTGATAAGGTTTTGGACGCGCATAATGTTGCCTCTCTAAAATTAATTTTGATAGGAAAAACCTAGTGGGATAAAAACCTAGTCGAAGGGAAAAGAGCACAAAGCTCTTGTATAGCATATTGTCGAAGATTCCCTTTGATGAATAAATTTGATAAATAAGTGACTCCCCCTAATGGTCTTGATTCAACTTGTCATCATTGTCAAGTGTGAAGTAAAGTGCTTCAGTATTAAGTTTGGTTAGGGCTTGACCTAGGGAAGTGCAGAAGTTTATTGGCATTTGACAACAGCCATTTGTGTTCCAACAAAGGCCAAATACAAAATGAAAACTAGGAATTAAAATAAACAAAGAGTAGTATAAAGCTCCATGGTAAATGTAAATTATATATACAAATATCCTTGAAGGCTCTTCAAGAGTCATACTAAAACTTTTAACTCTTTTAAGGGTATGTTGCAACAATATAATTTAGTTCGAACTAACAAATGTACTCGTTGAGGCAATTTATACCCAATTCTAGAATAGGTGTTGAGTACATATTTTGAGCTTTATGCTCTTCATTTGAAATCTTTGATAAGGAATTTCATGGCACTCTCTATTCTTTATGAAATTGCAGAGAGAGAGAGAGAGAGAGAGAGAGAGAGAGAGAGAGAGAGAGAGATCAAAACTTAAAATCTCAAGTATTATGCAGTCTCCACATGCTAGAAGTCTCATGTTTCAAATAACACTGCACTTATAAAAATGTGGTTGCTCCTACAATAGCAAACTATGTCTCTACCAAGAAGTGTTATGCCATAATGATTTATTTCACTTCATCACATGCACCTAAGAATACCATTTAGGTTTACTATAGGTTTCCTTATTCCACATTTTTCAGTGGCTCTCAAAAATGGATCTTGTATCTTTCCAATTTGAGCAACCCTTTACTTTGTTTGACATTAATGGTAAAACGTGATTGAATAGCCCTTAATGATATGAGTAACTACTATAATCAAAATTATCAAGTATCATTAATTTGTGATCCAATAATTCTCATTTTCATGTAGATGCTTAATTTATAAGTATTCTCAATGCTTGAGTACAAGTGCCTCTTTGGGGCTTACATAGTCATGACAAACAAATGAAGATGAATTGCTTAGAGAATTGGATCATAACCTATGGAGCGTCATTTAAATCAGACTTGAAATCTTCAATCTTCACTTCTGGGGATTTCAAAGTTTGGAACTTATATATTTGTCATGTTTCAAGCAGGCAACAGATTAATCCACGTCACTTATGAGACAAGAGTGGATGTATCAACATTGATTCATGACATTATTTGAATCCAATTTGTCACACGGTGCGAAAAATTGTCTCATCAAAAGTGACAAGCCACAAAACTATGGTGAATATATATAAGCACAACTAAAAAATACATCGACTTGAATTCCAATTTTAATGGATGAAAACCATCTTTTTGTACACAATTACTTGTTGGTTGAAAAATATAACCAAACAAATCATGATGATGCATGTGATCGAGATGCATCTCCCAAGCAGAAATTAATTAGCAATGACTAAAATGCTTAGAGCTTCTGGTGAGCCATGAGAAGTTGTGTGCTCAAATCGATAGTATAGCCGGTAGTATCTGTCATAGAGGTATATAGGTGAAGCGATATAAGATCTACTAGATTAATTTGTTAACCAAGAAAACTGTAATATAAATATTAGTAGAAACGTAAGATGTAGACTCAGAGAGAGAGAGAGAGAGAGCATACTCTTTGTGGATTAATACTAGCTGCAGCAAACATATATATTAAGTTTTCCAATGGAATTCCAATTCCCTGAACTCCAAGGTCCCCTAGGCCAAGGATACGACTGCCATCTGTGAGGACGATCATGTCTACCTGCAATATAGAGTTGAAAATGAAGACCAGTTACAAACTGAAAGGACTTAGAAACATAGGAAATCTTCAAAATCAAGAATAATCCCAACAGAGAAGCATCAAGATATGCTGCATTTTGACAGCACGACAGAGAGTTTGTGTGTCTTTGGATGGAGATCTCAACCATATAATACAAGCTAGATGGATGAAGTGAAATAGTGTATCGGTGTGTTGTGCAACCATCGTAAACCACAAAATCTCAAGAAAAAAGTTTATAGAACGAAAATAAGGTCAACAATGCTTTATAGCATGGAATGTTAAGCGGTCAAGCATCAACTCGTGCAAAAAATGAGTGTGGCGGAAATGAGAATTCTTCATTGGATGTGTGGGCACACAAGAAATGACACGATTAAAAATAAGGATATCTAAAGTAAATAGTAGGAGGAGCCACAATTGAAAATAAGATTAGAAAAAATCAATTAAGGTGGTTTGGAACGAAACCTACACATGTTTCAGTTAAAAAAATGCAATTATGAGACAAGGTTAGGAAAAAGAAGTAGAGGATGACCTAGGAAGACGTGAACAGAGACTTCAAGAAAAAACAAAGTCCTTGGAGCTAATCCAAGACTTGGTGCAAAACCGAACAGTGGTATTATTCTAGAATTCATAGAGTTTACCCCACTTAGTGGGATGAGGTTTTTGATGAGCGCATATTTTACTACTTATTTTACTCCGAAAGCTACATTTTCTTGTGTTATGTTTGTTCAAAATGAATGAAATTACATGATTTTGAGAAAAATATGAATTCAATCATTTTAAGTTCAATTCAAGTGAAGTAGCTGGAATTTGGTTTTGTTCAGTAAGTGGGTTGAGTTAAAGTGTGTTTATCATTTTTTTTAAGTCAAAATTGGTTTTAAGTGATAATCACAAGTAGGGTTATTTTTCATTACATTTTTTTTGCTCATCTAAATCTTATGCAGGTCATTCCTTTAGAAATTAGACAGCAGCTTATTTAATTGCGCAAGGGCTGGCCTTATCATCTCATTTACACCGACAGAGGAAATAAAGGCCTAACCCAATTTTTCTGGAGCAAACCGCCACATACAATTGAAGCAGAGCAAGGGGTTTAGGGTGATCAAATTCAAAAAGAGATGGAAACCCAACTTCCTAGATCAAATTCCAGTTTGAGGGTCTCAACCAAAAGTATGAACATGAGATATTTATTTGATCATTTTGATCTGTTATGAAGATTGGCCAAGTTGCAAATCTGGTGGATGTCCATTTGGGAGATGTGATTGCTAGTCAACACTTAGCAGATCATTGAAGAGGCAAATTAAGGAGGGTTGCTACTGCAATGAATTGACTCAGAGGTATGGGGCTAGGGGTTATGGCAGTGAGATATCAACGAGAAGGAATTGAAGTTTCTTCCGTTTCTCTTAATTCATTCTTGTGAATTAATGGGTTTTAAAACCTTTGTCGGTTACGGAAAAGGAAGGAGAAGTGGGAAGAAAAAAAAAGAAAAGAGAACTGATTAATATTTTGGAGAAGAGGCAGGGGACTGACGGAAGACAATTGCAGCAGAGCACAAGGATTTTTCAGCATTTTTTCTTAACTCAATTTTCTTCTCATTTTTATTATGAATACAATGATAATTTCATCTTCGTTTCAGAACTAATTTTCCTTAGCTAGGGCTACAATGTAACCATGATTATGAATGCTTATATTCTCAAGTGAATTATTTCCAGTTTTCAATTTCATTGAGTATCATTTGCTGTGTTTATATCCTTAGTTTTAGTCTTGGTGATTAGCTACCATCTTGACTTTTACTTGGTAAATTTGATGCAAGTTGTGCAGATGCCATGTTTTCAACTTGAGTGATAGCTTCTTGCAAATAGATATCATGAATTTCCTAGTAGTAGATGCCATACTTTAGGATTTGTGTAGTCTTTATATAAATTTCCACTGATCGTAATGAGTTTCATTATGTTAAACTATTCCAGATGCCATGGATGGTTGCATATTGGGATATACGTAATAGTCTAGATGCCATAGATATTACATGTGTTAGAGAGATTTGACTATCAATGAGGTTGAGTAATTGTTAATAATTCACTGTAGAAAATAAGTTGGATTAGTTATGGTCAGTCGGATGCTCTAGCATTTTACTCGACTGAATTACAAATTGTGTTCTTGGCTACCACGTTTTGCATTGTGATCAAATTTTCTTGTTTTCATTTGTTTTTACTATTAGTTTCAATTTTCAAATCCATCTTTCATCAATCTTTGCTAATTTTACTTCGTTGCAATTGGATTTAAGTTAGTTGATAAGAATTAAATCATTTTCTAAGGTACGATATTAAGCGCTTACTTTCTATACTACCGATCGATTCGTACGCTTGCGAGCATAAAATTTGGAACTAAGTTGGACTAATTTCGGTTAGTTTAAATTTCGCAACAGTTTTGTTGCACTGTATGAGTAGAGTGAGACTGAATGAAAATTCTGAAATTCAATCATATTGCAATGTGAGATAGAAATTGTTGCACGACCGACTGAATATATATTCCAAGTAGACACAAAAAACTTTAATGTTGCACAACTGATTGAACATATATTCCAAGCAGGAAATAAAACATTATACAGAAGGTACTGTGTTACAAATATAGATTGTTCCAAGTATACTTAACAAGTTCAAGCTGACACCCAAATAAAGGACATACATTGCAACATTTGCATTACAATATAAAATCTTCTTCAATCAAAAATCTGTCACTTCATTCTGAGAAAAGAAGCAGCCAGAAGGGCCATCATTGGGCAGGAATGCTAACTTCACAACCCTTGCTGCACCTTCTTCGACAGGCAGGACGCCGGAATTGGAGTTTATATCTGTTCTGACAAATCCGGGGCAGACACAATTGATACGAAAATCGGGGTACTTCTTGGCTAGAATACGTGTATATGCATTCATTGCTGCCTTTGAGAGTATATAGCTAGACATATGAGAAGGCCAGCCCTTGCTCTCAAGCGAACCCTCCTTGAAGTCTTCTAGAAACTGAGTCAGCACCTCGTCTATTTGCTCTTGTGTTAGGTTCTCGACATCACTGAAGACTCCTTTAACCCTGTCGCTAGGTATTTTGTTTAAGTTGCCCATGGAGGATGAAACGTTAACAATTCTTGGTGATTCGGATAACCGGAGGAGTGGAATAAGCGCTTCGGTTGTTCGTTTAGCACCGTAATAGTTTATTTGCACGCATTCTTTTGCTAACTCATAATTTTCAGTCATCACTTTATTCCAATCAATTGTTTCTTTCTGCATCACACACGCCCCAAACATCAGTCATCAATCTATCACAGTGAAAATCTTGTCCAGAATAATATCACACATAATCATTTAATTTGCTAGTAAAATGGCTTGTGAGAAGAATTCTAGCCACAAAAAGTGGCCTTGTGAGAAGAATTATGTCCAACACTTACCCAACCAGAAGCTATTTCAGCTTTAAAAGCATCAGCATCCAAAATGGATCCACCAACCCCTGCATTGTTCACCTGTGCAGTGCAAAGCACAAATCTTTCAATATTTGTTTTACTTCAGCAACTCAAACTATTGAAAAGCAAGAAATTCTAGAAAATGTAAATTAAAAGGTCAGTTTGGGTAGATCCTTAGATGTTCTTATAACCAACTCAAAATCCAATTAATGAGTTAGAGAAACTTTATCCAATTAATGAGTTAGAGAAACTTTATTTGATTCAAGCGATATTCTAATTAATCTAATCTAAAAACTTGGCTACGCCCAAAAGCTCAAGTCTTCAACCTGGTTTGGTACTGAGGTGATTCTGAAAAAAACTGCTATAAAAAAAAGCTGGGAGCTGTTTTTGTGTTTGGTAAACACTCAGCTTCAGCTTTTTTTCACAGTTTTGGATGAACAAAAGCCAAAACCAAGAAGCTGCAAAACCCAGCTTTGAAAAACCGGCTTTTTTTCACATCTGTTTTACATAAAAGTTTACCAAACACTCTAATACTGCTTTTTTTTTTCAAAAGCACTTTTACAAAAAAGTTTACCAAACATTCTGCTACTTTATTTCACAGCTGCTTATTCTCACAGTATAGCAGAAGCAGTTTTTTTTCAAAGCGCAGCGATACCAAACCAGCCCTTCAAAGTCAGAAACTTTTTAAAAAATGAGCTATGATCGTACCAAGATATCGAGTTTCCCGAACTGGGTTTTAATGAACTCCGCGAGAGGAGCAATGGTTGAGGGGTTAGCCACATCAAGTTGATGAAAAACCACTTCACCTCCCAAACCGGACTGTTTGAGTTTCTCAACAGCTTCAAGACCCCTCTTCTCATCTCTAGCTGTTAAAACCACTGTTATTCCATCTGATGCCAACTGCTTGACAATCCCGAATCCTATTCCTTTGTTTGCCCCTGTCACAACTGCACACCTGAAAAATTCACACGCATAACGAAACACCAAATTCAGAACAAATTAACAACAACGAAATAAGAAACAAAAACAAAGAGTGACAAATTGTTATGGAGTGGCCACCGCTTTGTTGCTTCTGCCATTGATAATGATTCGATATCGATCGGGTTGATCAGTCGGTACTTAGATAATCGTTTGCGTGCTTATATAGAGTGTTAGAGCTTTGTTTTGTATGTTTAGATAAAAATCAGAAGAAAATTGTTCTTTGTCATCTTCCAACTACTGAAGTAGGATCTAGTTGTACCTAGAAGAAAGTGGACTTTTCTTTGCACAACGAAAAGAACTCTGGGTGATGCAGCTGCCCACGTTATCCAAAATTTTTTGTGGTGTACTTCGGATTCTCTTTGTAGAATCTCGATAAATCATTAATTATATTTGTTTATTGTACATTATCATTAATTTTTATCAGATATTATTTGTATTTAATTTTAAATAAAATTTTTAAAATAATTTTTTATCGCACGATATGCAATGAGCAAACATAATTTACATATCTCCAGAGTCCTTACAAAGATTACCTGAAGAGGACCCTCATTCATGTAAATCAACCATCAGCAAAGACAATTGGAATTTTAGTGTTGACTATTTGTAAATACATATTCCAAAATATCCAATTAATTTGATTCTCGGCGCATGAAGAAATTTTTTCATGTGCTTGAAACATGAGCCTGTACATCAGGACCGGTCCTAAGAACAATTCCACTGTTATTAAGGTTCTCTCGGACTATTTACTATTTAATCCATTCGATGAACAATAACTACTTTTAATGAATAGTAATTGTCTTTTTCATCTCCACCCCTACACTGAATAACCCTGGCAATAGACAATAAAATATTAATATTTTTTTTTTAAATAATACAAAGTAATTTTATTTTGTAATTTCAGATAGGATTTTTAATCAATCTCGTTGTACCACTTTCTATTAAAAAAATTATTTTTATTCTTTTAATTTTTCCTTTTCACATGGTGTAGCACACCATTCCAAAACCTTTGCTTTTTTCACATGGTGCCGATGCACCATTCCAAAACCTTTTTTTTATTATATTTTTTTTCTCCTTCTTTTCACATGGTGCCAACGCACCATTCCAAAAGCTATGTATTTTATTTTCTTTCTTTTTCAAGCTCAGCAGCTCTCTCTCACTTGAGCTCCGAAGGCAAGGCCTTAGACTCTGACAACATCAATAGCCGATCCGTGCAAAAATTCATAATTTTTCCTTAGTTATGTAGGTAAAGGATCGCCAACTCCTTAGATAAAATCTCTCTCTCTCTCTCTCTCTCTCTCTCTCTCTCGAAAACAAATAACAAATTGTGCGATCTGGGCACGCAAGTGGAAGGAGGGGAATCACAAGTGCGTGGAGGTGAAGGCGGTGTCGGGTTGGCAACCCGTTTCGAGCCTCTGCCTTGAGCTCGCTCGAGCTCCCTTGCCAGCACACGTTGCACCATCTCCCTAGGGCTATCTGGCCCTGGTCCAAAGCCAATCCACCAGGCAATAGCCCACAGTGGAACTGCTCTAAGGGTGTGCGAGGTATGCACCGCACAGGGCCCCTTTTTATGGGGCTTGGAAATTTTAATAACCTATATAGTAAATACATATAAAACAAAAACGTAAACATAATTAACAAAATTCCCATAGCTGCATGGCAGAGTTGGCAGGTGCTAGTTTTTCTAGTTACATAGCATGTGTTCGACCCCTGCCTTCACATATCTTTTCTCTTTTAATTATGAATTTTATTTGGGGGTAACCATTCTGGGCCTTTTTAGCTAGACTCTTTTAAATCTTTTTCTTGCTACACTATTTTTTTCTTGTTTTAAATATATGTAGTTAATTTCTTTCATTATAAAAGATCACTTTTGCTAATAAATATATAATTAAGAATATTATAATAAATTAGAATTCTTAAAAGGTTGAGATATAATCTTTAAAAGCCCCCCATTTTTCTATACGATATCATTTAATCGTTTATTTTGTCATTGTTTAAACGTCACATCCCTAAAGTACTCCATTCATTACCGTTAGGTTAATTTGGTTTAATTGCTTTAAGACACAAATCTCGAAATTTTGACAAATCTAACAACAATCAACCGGGGCGGAGTGAGAAACATCCTTACTTTAGGTTAGGAGGTGAGCAAAAATGCACTAAAAAAACAGACAATTCATCATAAGTATGCTACTAATATCATAATCTGTGATTTGTTTAATACATAATTTTTTCTTGAGTTGAACTCTAGTAATAATAAGAGCAAGAATGGTCCTATTACAATATTTGTACAGTAATATGTTTACTACATAGCCACCACATCATGCTTTTTGTATTAAAACCTAAGGAGTTTCGAACCCAAAAACATAGGGGAAGCATATAAGTACGTAGACACCACATCATGCTTCATTTTTATTTATTTTATTTTGCACTATATCAATTTATACACAATGAAATATAAAAGAAAATATAGCAACAAAAATTCTAGACCATGTAAAGGCCTCCATTTGAGTCTTGTACAAGGCCTTTAAAATTTCAGAACCGGTCATGTGGTACATTACATATTCGTGTGTCCTAATAGAAATAAAAAAAATAAAAAAAAAGTCTTTTTTATTTTTTATTTTTTATTTTTTGAAGTTTTCCTCCACTTACCGACTCATATTCCGGATAGATTAAAAAATTTCTCCAATGCATGAGATTCTGTAGTTGGATTTTTTTCTCTAAATACTACTTGTCGCGTTATCATTGCGTTAATAACATGTTTAGTCGTTTAGTACGGGGTTAAGATTGGTTTCGTTTTCAATGTTACTTGTAGAATTAATATAACTAGAGATTTTGAACTAAATTAATTTTTAAATTTAACATTATTCGTAGGTCCATGGAATTGAATCATCCAGAATAAAATTCAATCGGTTATTGGTCTATGAAAATCTTCAACCACTCCAGAAAAAAATATGTTAGAATTTTAAGTAGATGTAGCATGCCAAAAGATGTTTGGAAACAAAGACACTGAAATTATGAATTTAGTAAGTAGAAGGCCCTATTTTTGGACAGGTTTTTCAATCTACAAAGAACACAATCGGTACACCAAGTCGTGTTCCCAATACATTGAAAATTTTCTCTTATTTATGTTGGTTTCAGTGTCTTTTAATTCTTTCAGCTTGTAAATTACAAAGGTAGACCAAAAATAAATAGGTTGCTAGACTGCAAAATTATTAGTGCCTATTTGGTACTCTACTTGAATTAGACCTGGCATTCATGTCGTGTTTCTCGTGTTCGTGTCGTTTTCGTGTCATACCCGATAGCTTAACGGGTTATGTCGTGTAATACCCGTTAAAGTAAACGGGTAATATGACCCGACCTGAAATCAACTTGTTAATATTATCAGGTAATATGACCCGACCCATTACCCGTTAAGAAAAATATATTTTAAATCAATAAAAATGAAAATGAAAAACATAATACTAAATTTCAAAGTTTACCCCTTCATGAAAGTTCTAAAACTTTTCATTACTGTCACATCCCCGCCCAGGGTGGATCACTTCCCGGCCCCACTCCACCACCGTAGCACGATATTGTCTGCTTTGGGCTTACCATTCCCTCACGGTTTTGTTTTTAGGAACTCACGAGCAACTTCCCAGTGAGTCACCCATCATGGGATTGCTCTAGCTCCCTTGGGCGATGTGAGATGTCATAATCCACCCCTCTTAGGGACCCGATGTCCTCGTCGGCACACACGCGACCAGGGTTAGGCTCTGATACCAAATTGTCACATCCCGGCTTGGGGCGGATCACTTCCCGGACCCGCTCCACCACCGTAGCACGATATTGTCCACTTTGGGCTTACCATTCCCTCACGGTTTTGTTTTTAGGAACTCATGAGCAACTTCCCAGTGGTCACCCATCACGGGATTGCTCTAGCTCCCTTGGGTGACGTGGTGTCACATCCCGGCCCGGGGCAGACCACTTCCCAGGCCCGCTCCACCACCGTAGCACGATATTGTCCGCTTTGGGCTTACCATTCCCTCACGGTTTTGTTTTTGGGAACTCACAAGCAACTTCCCAGTGGGTCACCCATCATGGGATTGCTCTAGCCCCCTTCTCGCTTAACTTCGGAGTTCCTACAGAACCCGAAGCCAGTGAGCTCCCAAAAGGCCTCGTGCTAGGTAGGGATAAGAATATACATATAAGGATCACACCCCTGGGTGATGTGGGATGTCACAATCCACCCCCCTTAGGGTCCCGATGTCCTCGTCGGCACACACGCAACCAGGGTTAGGCTATGATACCAAATTGTCACATCCTGGCCCGGGCGGGACCACTTCCCGGGCCCACTCCACCACCATAGCACGATATTGTCCACTTTGGGCTTACCATGCCCTCACGGTTTTGTTTTTGGGAACTCACGAGCAACTTCCCAGTGGGTCACCCATCATGGGATTGCTCTAGCCCCCTTCTCGCTTAACTTCAGAGTTCCTACGGAACCCGAAGCCAGTGAGCTCCCAAAAGGCCTCGTGCTAGGTAGGGATAAGAATATACATATAAGGATCACACCCCTGGGTGATGTGGGATGTCACAATTACGAATGATTACATATGTCACACTTCTACAATAATTATTATTAATTTTATTAATTTTGCACTCAAATAAAAAACATTGTTCATGAGATTTGGAGGGTTTTAAAAATGTAAACGACCATGTAACCATCGTCTAAGCGTTGAGGATGCAATTATGATTGTTTATTATGCTTTCACATCTTTTAGACTTATACATTAATGATTATGAATTTTGTTTATTTTGAACTCTCTTAAAAATACTATTAATGAGAGTTTGTATGGTTTTAAAAATTTAAAAGATCATATACCCATTCTCAAAGCGTAGAGGATACGACTATGAGCGTTTGCATATTTTTTTCATATTTTTCACACATGTAAATTAATTATTATAATTTTTTTAATGTGTTTGGTATTTTTAAATTACTCGATATTTTTATTTTTAATGTTTTTTATGATTTTTAAACTCAATATTTGTCTATAATATACTATAAAAATAAATAAAACTTAAATTTTTAAATTTATATAGAGTAATAATTAATAAACAATATATACATATTCATTATATCTATTGCATTTTATAGTAAGTTTTTTTTAGTAGTTTAAAAAATTAAATCATCAAAATAACTTTTTTCTTATTGTGTCGAAACAGGTTACCCGCATGTCACTCTCGTGTAAACCTGTTAAAGACCCATTATTAACGAGTTATTATCGTGTGACCCGATAATGACCCGATTAGTTTTCGTGTTGATCCAAAACCCATTA